TTTTTATTTTTTTTAAAAAAATCTTTGATTTTTATCCACAACATAAATTGCCAACATAAATTGAAGATCACCTATATTATGCTAAGTGGCGACAAATGATTTTAATGAATGTTAAATCAAATCAACCAAAAACTCATAGATCAACCATAAAGTCAAAATTGGCCATAAACTATAACTTGGTGTGCGCAAAATAAAGCAACAGATTATTCCATGCAATATAACAAGTGATTTTTTATGTCTCTCCCATCATCCTATTTAATATACAAGTTGCTGCAGTAATAGTTTTATATTTTAGCCAGGTGTGACCAGTACACCTAACTAGCAGTATTCACACTATATCCTAAGTCACAACAAAGGATTAATGAAAACATATGCATGCTTGTAATTCATTAACTAGGATTGAAAGTTTAGCATGTCATCTGGACTTATAGTAACACATATTTGGGACTTCCAAAATAATCAGAATAAAATACAATTAAAAACCTCACTCTGATAAGTTAAATGGATATCAATGAGGATGGTATGAGCAAGGAGTGCTATAATTTGTCTCTTATGTTTCATCTTGTGTCACTATACTTCTTTTTCTGTTTTAGGATAAATATAAACGTGCTCTGGCAGATGCAGAAAATCTGCGGCAGAGAACTCAGAAATTGGTAGAAGAAGCAAAGTTATATGGTACATACACATTTTGCTTTTTGGGATTAGAATGCAGATGCAAGCCCGAACATTTTAAATTTTACAGATTTTAACTAGATTTTGAATGTTCTCTGTAAATTGTTAATGGTGGTCCATGGTTTTACAACCAATTATAGTTATAAAATACACCATAGTTACTAGTGGTTTTTTTAAAATTCATGTAGTGATCATTGATTAAAACTGTCCATTTAGTTTTCTCCTGGGACTGTTATCAATGCTTGATTTTCTTTTGTTTGGGTTTTGTAAGAATGGGAAACAAAAAGATGTGAGGGGCTGGATTCTTTATTTGAAAAAAAATGATAGGAAATCATTTCAGACGATAAAGACTTTGTCTTCTGAGATGACAAGCTGTATTTGTCATATAACCTGTAGCAAACATCACCTGGTATTCTACAGAAGAAAAAACAGTGCAGCTATTTTACCATATAGAAGCTCTATTATAATTTGGAGCTAATAATGAGTCTGGAAATACTTAAATGGCTGGTAATGTTCTCATAAATTTAATGTAGTTTTTAAAAATACCCATTGATTGGATCTATATTTAAAAAGTCATACCTACGTCCCACTGAAATGAAGGTACTTAAATAGTTATGATAAACTTGTTCTGATGTGCAGCATGATCATGATTCATTCTGGATCTAGCTGATTCTCAGCTTCAATTTATTATAGTAAAATGCATTTTCAAATGCCATTTTTGCATGTGGTTGAAATATTTATCTTTAAGGATTGACTATTTTACTATGGTTTTGCACTTTAGGAATTCAGAGTTTCTGCAAGGACTTACTGGAAGTTGCTGATGTTCTAGAAAAAGCAACCGAGTCTGTTCCCAAAGAAGAACTTAAAGATGAAAACCCCCATTTGAAAAATCTTTATGAAGGTCTTGCCATGACTGAAGTTCAAATACAGAAAGTATTCAGAAAACATGGATTGGTGAAATTGAATCCTCTCGGAGCCAAGTTTGATCCTTATGAACATGAAGCATTGTTTCATGTCCCCACAGAAGGGAAAGAACCGGGCACTATAGCTTTAGTATCAAAGGTTGGCTATAAATTGCATAGCCGTACTTTAAGGCCTGCATTGGTAGCTGTTGTGAAGGAACAATAGCAGTCTAATCTGAAAGAATTAATAAGCATCACATAGATACTAGTTAGATTTCTTAATAATGCTCCATTATATAGAGGTGATTCACCAAATGAGTTGGGATACAGAGAAAAATAATGGATGGATGATAAAGCATATAAAGTAATGTAAAAGTGTTTTTAAATGAATGTATATAATGTGGAGAGAATGCAAACTACTAACATAAATTACAACATCAAATTATACATAGTACCTTTTCATTAATGTAAGTCCTCAAGGATAATTATTTAATAACCGAGCAATAAGAATGCCATACAGGTTATTTCCACATTGAAATCTTTTGAACTGTTGGTGTCATGTTGTTTATGCTTCTATTCAAGTCCTATCTTTTAAGCTGAGATGGAGCTTTGATGGAACAAAAGGTGGCAAGATATACATACAACCAATAATGCCCTCATTCTATGCATGTAGTGACATTATGGAAATCATTCCTTGTTGATGCCACTTAAATGCTTTAATTCATATAAAGGTGTCTTAAAATAGTATGCTAAAGGAATATGCAATTAGTCTAAATACTGTTAATTGCTTACCTTTGAATTGAAGGTTGTTTTGCATCACTGAGAAGACACTATTGGAAAGAAGCAAAATGAACAGGAGGTGTAGATGACTGACATGCAGCTAAGCTAAATATGAATGCCTTTAAAATTGACTCTTGAGACGGTCAGCTTTCCTATTTAAGAGCACAGCAGCTTGCCTTTCCTTTCTTTCGTGTCATCTCACTGCAATCTTTTTCCTCAATGTTCTTCCCAATGCAGTTGATATTTCTCAATGAAGTTATTATGCCCCATCTCTTTTCTATTTTTTCTGAAGGGTGAGAAATAGGGGTATCATGGACATTTCTTTGTATTAATGGTCTGTATATAAGTAGTTGGTATATGCAGAGGGAAAACAATAATTTTTAACTCTAGTGTCTTATCTTGCATTTAAGTTTGACAATGACAGTAATGAAAGTTCATTATTATAGTTGGCATATTGTTCATATAAATCGTAATAATGAGAGATCACATATGATAAAAGGCACACAAAATAAGGTTTCATGAGAAGAAAGGTACCTGCTACAGGAACAGTGGTATTTGTACTTGTTACTTTATTAGTAAGAAAGTGTTAAATAGAACTGTAATTTGTGACTTTTGTATTCACTGGTGTATGCAATATTTTCCCTGGCCATTGAATTCCATCATAAAATGCAAGCACCAGAAAATGGCAACATATGATCTTTAATGTTAAAATGTTTAGCTATATTGTTGTGTGATAATCTTGGAAGATTTTTGTTATTTTTTTAGATTAAATTGTGCCTGCATGAATTATGTTGCCAGCCCCCATGTGTGCAATAATAAGGTATTTGTGGAAGATACGTAAGATTTGCAGAAAGATATAAATCTATCATTATCGACTGCAAATATATTTTAATATTAGCCTTCTCTTGAATTGTGTATTAAATCAGCATGTGTTAGCAGAAAAAAAAAGACACATGCAAGGAATAGTGAGGAAAAAAGTAATCCTGGAAGCTGTTACTTGTGGCAAAGGTGCTAGTTACTCAGTTATGCATCTGCCATATTTACTTTAAAAAAAACTGCATGTGGATAATACGCATTCAGATTTGAAGAAAGATGCTGTGTTTAAATTGTACATTGTAATTGTTTTGTTGGCTTCTGTTCATTTAGGGATTCACAGATGCATACAATTTATTCTGAACTTTTCCATGCAACCGCATAGTGATTCTGATTTCTACGATTGAGAATACAAGAAACTTTTAATGTTGTAACTCAAAGCACATTTACTAGTAACTAAGTTTCACTGACAAATGAAACACTTATTCTTCTGCTGCACATGTAGTAAATTATGCATTCAAAAGTTTGTTTATGAATAAGCTCAACAAAAAGGTATCGAGACTCATTCTCCAGCAAAGTGAGTAGATCAGAATTACTGTTTTAGTAATGGATATTTTATCAGAATCTTGTCCCAAAAGTGCTTTATCAAGAGGCAACTGGACTGTCTGGTTTTTTCTTTGAAGACGTTTCACTTCTCATCCAAGAAGCTTCTTCAGCGCTTCTTGGATGAGAAGCGAAATGTCTTCAAAGAAAAAACCAGGAAGTCCAGTTGCCTCTTGAAAAAGCACCTTTGGGAGAACCATGACCTGGATGACTTGAGAATCTCCATAGATATCAGCCTATGTATAACTCAGATTGTTCATGCCCAAGATAAAAGAAAAGTGTCCCTCTTTACTTTTTAAGTAGTTTGTAAGGGAGTATGGGAAGCACAGGTATTATAAAGTCCACCAAGAAAGTAAAGACTTGCAGCTACAATGTTGAAAAAAGTAGCAGGAAAGAAAATACAATCTGATGAATTTTGTAAACTGATACATTGCTAAAACATCTTGAGGCACACAAAGCATCATACACTATTCACACTTTGTGATCATGTGTTATATCCATGTGTAGCCTAGTAATATGTATGTTTCCTATTTGGGGATTCTTGCCCAAGACTGGGAAAGTGTGTTTAAACAAGTGTTGTATTTGTAAACCTGAAGACCACCACCACCACCACCACCATCAAAGTCACAAGCAATGTAGAGTTGCTTAAGAATCTTGTGTCAGTATATACCAATTATATTCTCATAAACTCGTATCATTCCCATTTTTTCAGTTGATACTTATATTTAAATAAAACCACACAAAGATTCTTCCTTTCATTTTTCAAATTGTATAGAAGTGGAACATTAGTATATACATTAAAGCAGTTAGTTCACCACCACTATGTTTTACAATCAGAATGCCTGTTATTTGCTGAAAATCATTTTCAATGATTCTATGCAAGCTAGGTTGTGGAACTAGTCTACTCATTTTAATGATGTGTGCTGTGTTAAACCATTTTATATTACTCAGTTTTGCATTCTCTTTGCTCTAGTGGTAATATAGCAGAATGCCTTGGCTTATGGAAAAAATGTAACAAATTTGTAGTATACATTTCCAATATGAAATAGTAATTTGTGCCTAAGTTCATTATCCAAGATTTAGTAGGACACATAAGCAGCCCTATCTGATGGTTTTGCTTGACAATAAATACTATTCAGTGTAGTGGGGCATATTTCCAAGTAAATGTGTGAAGAATAGCAACCTTAAACCAGTATCATGTCTAAAATACAAGTTTGTGCAGCAGAGGTAGAGTTCAGTAAGTATTATCAGAGTTTCCCATCTCACTTCCGATACACTGGTAAAACAAACCACTTCACCCAGAGTGTGCTGTTTTAAGGTAATATGTAAAGTGGTTCATAAAATAAGATCTAACATGTACATGATCCATTACAGAAAAATCCAGTTGAGTGAGTTTTTTTACAAGATCTTGGATGTTAAAAAAAGCTGGTAACTAGATCAATGGCGAATGTTGGTTCTTCTGTTGATACTGATGTTATTTCAAAGTAGTCAAGATTTAAGAAGCATCCCTGGATATCCAACCACTTTCTGTCAAAAAATTCAAAATCCTTTTTTTTAGTATCTTATCCAAGTAACTAGGAAGGCGACTTTTTGAGGGGATGCCCTGCCTTTTTTGGAGATGATCTTTAATAATTATAGTTTTAACCGTCACATAGCGTGCTGGACTCAGATTAATAGAGTTACAAAGTACTTTCTCTCGGTCAGATAACAGTTCAAAGCCAGGAAGATTTTCAATTGCAGAGAATTCTCCATCTTTACCCTCATCCTTTCCTCTTTTAGAAGTACCAATGTTTTTATTTTCTTTCCTTTTCTCTCGTTTGTGTCTAGCTGCTTCATATTCTGCAGACTCTTCCATTTTTGTTATGCCATTTCGGCGATAACGCTGGAGTTCTCTTATTTTTGTTCGAAGCACCTTTTCCTTGTGTAGATTTTCAAAGAAATCATCAAATTCTTTGCAAGACATAAACTGATAAAGAGACCTCAATTTTAACCTCAGTTCCTTTTCTTCTTTTGTAGTTTTGCGTTTTGAAGGTTTTTCTTTATCTCTCCTATCCTTCCCTAAAAATGCAGGAACCAAGTTGTAGTCACGAGCAATGTTCTTTCGCCGCTGCCTCTCTTTCAGTTTTCTTACATACATATCCACATGAGCTCTTTTTAATTCTATTTCCACATCATCATCATCATAATTAACTGAAAGGCCACTAATTAGAGTCTCAGCATCTTGATCATACTCAATCTCATAATCATCTCGAAGTGGCATGTATCCAAGCTGTTGTTGTTCAGCCACTGATATATCTAAAGGTGGCAGAGGCATGGTAAGGCTTGGAGAAAGTGGACCACCACTCGGGCATGTATGATCAGTCACTCTATTAGGAATAACGTCAGGAATGCAGGCTTTTCCAAGATTTCCATGTATATACATGCTCACATAGTGTTCCATAACTTCTTGAGGCGTTCGTGATGCTCCAACATGAGTAGCCATATCTTCCTACAATAAAGAAAAACAATTTTTGAATTACCTGTCTCAAGACATGCATGTGCTAGATATAGACACAACTATGATGTTTGTCACAACCCAACATTTCACATTCTTTTAAATACAGCCAATGACTATGAACTTCAAAGTACTAGTGCTTGTTCATATATGGTGATCTTAAAGTATTATTTAAGTTCACTGGATTCAAACAGAAGGTTCTAAACTGGAGGAATTTTATCTAAAGCTTTCCCCATAAATTCACTTTTTGCTAATCATGGAGCTTTGTAATGAAGTACTTCACAGATCTAGAGTTAGTTTTTAAAAATAGGGCTATGCAGTGCTTGAGGTTCAAAGTGAAAAAGGTGCTTTGAAGCATGTGTGGAGTATATCTTACCTGTCAGCAACACCTAAACATGCTTTACCTGTTGCAGCTGCAAAGGGCACTTCCACAACCCAAAGAAAATGCAGTTTTAAGATACTGGCAAGTACTACATGAATGATGCTGAAGCACATTTTCTCCCATAGCTCAGGAGCATTAAAAACCTCTTATCAAAAATTCCCAAATGAATTGAAATATTCTTAGAAAAGCCAATCTTAAAATACAAAGATTTAATTTTATGCTTGTTAAAAATGTAAAGATACTAAGTCAGAAGAAATGACCCAAGGAAAACCAATTTCCTATCCTGCAGCCTCTATATGTGTCTAATTTTATCCTGGAACATCCATTAAATGCCAGAGCACTTCTTGGGAGGAAAAAGGCACTGTTTTCCTTCTGGTCCTATTAACAGATGAGTATGATGATCAATTAATTTAATATGCAGGCAGAAAAAGCTATAAACTCAGGCAATAATATAAATAAGACAAAGCTCTAAGAAAACTTTATACTCATATATTTGGTAAACATGATAGATATTCCTATCAATATGCTGATATAAAGAATTTATAAGTAATAAGGTAGATGTGTGGTGTTCAACTTTTTACATTTAAAAAAAATCTCTTTAATTTTAGAATGGATATGTCTGTATGTAAAGGAGTCCCTACAGTAGTGGCCAAAATTGTGGAAACTTTTTGGAAAAAGAGTATTTTTGAAGTTTGATGGCTAATAACACCACTTTTTTTTGTAGTTTCATATTCCACTGCTGGAATGGCCTGGGAATAGCCCAGACCTTAACCCAATTGAAAATCTATGGAGCCGACTAAAACTTGTTAGTCAGAAGCGACCCAGCAATAAAACCAGTTAATAGAAGCAATCCTTCAATCTTGGTTTCACATTATAACAACTACAGAACTAAAATACTTGGTTCACTCCACGGGAAGACGTTGTAAGGCTGTTGTTCATGCTAAAGGTTACCGAACTAAGTGTTAACTGACGTGATAATTTTTATATATCATTTTTTCTATGGTGATAATTTTTGTATATCTCATTTTTTCTATGTATTTCACTTTTCTTCTTTATATTGTAACTGTTATCTAATAGCAAATCCTTCATAAAAGTTATTGCATTACATTCTTGATTAAATTCAGGGGTGAAATGCTCCCGGTTCGGTCCGGATCACCTGATCCGGTAGCGATGGCGGTGGGTGGTTCAGAGAACCGGTAGCAAAAATCCCTACGCCCCCCTCCCAATGCTCAGCTGAGTCCAGGGTAGATAAAAATCAATGATTTTTTTAAAAAAAAATCAAAAAATCAGATTTTTTTTATTTAAATCGGATTTTTTTAAATAAAATGCTTTTTGAGGAAAATATATTACCATCCAAAGGTTATTCCATCATGAAATAAAGATTAGTTTTTTAATTATGTAGAATAAGGCTGTATATGTTTAATTTTTTTGGTAAATAAATTCCATTAATCCATTCACAATATCATGCTCTTCCAGAGGTTTTTGTAAGATTATTGGGCAGTTTCTCTGCCTACAAGATGATATCACAGATGCTTGGTTTACTTTTGCAGTTCTCAAAACTGAATTTGACTCAGCAGAGATCACATGCCTCTTCTTCACAGCAAAAATGTTATAACATGAACAGAGTTGAGAAAAAGACCTTAAGCCTATTGTTTTACAAACCTATGAATACAGAATCAACCCCTTCAGTGCTAAGTTTCAAGATGTTCAGTGAATAGAATAGAAACTTTTTCTGATTGTTTGGAGTGGAATAGATCTGCACAAGAAGAAAGTGAAACTAAGTGTGAGGAGGAAGGGGCAAGCAGACAAGCAGTACAAAATGAAAGTGAAACTTTCTGAGCACAATATTGCACAGCCACAGACAGACAAGGCTTTGGATCTTTTTGTGTGTATTACCTGAGGTTTATCACATTCTTTCCTTGGAGGAAAAAACCTATAATGGCAGCAGGCCGTAAAAGAGACCCAGTTTGGCAATATTTTAATGAAGTTCCTTTACCTATCAGTAAGGCAGGCATGCATGCAAACTGCAAACACTGCAACAAAGAAATGCAAGGCCTGGTGGCCCGAATGAGGCAACATCATGAGAAGTACTGTGATGAAGATGACCAAAGAAACACATTTGAACAGGCAGGATCTTCAGGTTGGTAAACATTTTTATTGAATCATATTTCTAAAGACTGCCTTGAACTGTCATGTTTGAGCAAAATTATATTTCTTATTATTACTGCATGTTACTGTCATTTGGTACAGTTATGAAGAAAAGCAAATATTCCTTTTGGGGCAGTGCTGTGTACAATAAGCAGAAATTGTATAAACAATAAAATAACAGCATTGACTTTTTTGTTTAGGGGAATTCATGATTCTGGAAATGGGCGTTGGTCCTACCTGAGACGCCCGTTCTCTCCCGTAGGAGGGAACGGCAGGCAGCGCCGGGTAGACTCTGTCGTTTGACCAATCAGGACCGGGTCTGCAAGAGTTTAGGCCCCGCCCTTCCTGTCGTTCCCCAGTTTATCGGCGAGGATTTCACTGCAGACTGGCGTGTCTCCTGCTAAGAATAAGGAAAAGGTAAGTAGAACCCGCCCCACCCCGGCAGCGACGGCTCATCCCCAATAGGGTGGGGGCTGCCTGCCGTTCCCTCCTACGGGAGAGAACGGGCGTCTCAGGTAGGACCAACGCCCATTCTCCTCCCAGACAGGGAACGGCAGGCAGCACTGGGACATACCAAAGCTTGATGTCCAAGGGCGGGCAGCCGGGGAGAGCCGAAGATCAGGTCTCATGCACCCGTTGTAGGACGCGTCTGCCGAATGCCGCATCCGCTGACGCGTAGACGTCCAGACGGTAGTGTCTGATGAACGGCGTCGGGGTGGACCAGGTCGCCGCCCTGCAGACTTCCTCCAGAGAAGCCTGGGTAGCCCAGGCCGCAGAGGTGGCGGCGCTCCTGGTGGAATGTGCAGTCACACGGTTGGGAACCGGCAGAGACTGGGACTCATAAGCGAATGCGATCGTGGCCCGGATCCAGCGACCCAAGGTTGGCGCCGAGACCTTGGATCCCATTGCAGTAGGTTGAAAAGAGATGAACAAGGCCTCGGTCTTGCGGAACGAAGCAGAACGTGAGATGTAGATTTTCAAGGCTCTGCGTACGTCGAGAGTGTGCCACGCCCTTTCTAAGTGGTGAGATGGATTGGGACAAAAGTTGGGCAAGGAAATTTCCTGCGATCGATGGTACAATGAGTTAACTTTGGGAAGGAAAGTAGGGTCCAAACGAAGGACAACCTTGTCGTGATGGAAAACGCATAGGTCTTGGCGGACCGACAAGGCGGCCATTTCAGAAATGCGACGAGCGGAAGTCACTGCCACCAAAAGGGCTACCTTGAAGGAGAGAAATTTCAAAGACGCCGACCGGAGAGGCTCGTAAGGCGGGCGAGTCAGCGAGGCCAAAACCTTCGAGAGGTCCCATGTAGGGAAACGGTGGACGACTGGGGGACTCAGGTTGGAGGCCCCCCGGAGAAATTGCCGAATCAATGGATCCTTAGTGATGGCTGTCAAGGATGCGCAAGCTGAGACGGAGGCCAAGGCTGCAGTCTGGCGACGTAGAGTAGAAGGGGCCAGACCGGATTCAAAGCCCTCCTGGAGGAAAGCGATGATGTGTGCTACTGAAGGCGAAGTGGGGTTGATCCCTCGAGCCAAGCACCAAGACGAGAAGGAGCGCCAGGTAGACTCGTAGATACGAGTGGTAGAAGGGCACCGGGCAGCTTGCATTGTAGTGATGGCGGCGGGAGGAATATTGACCCGAGTCAAGAACTCCCGCTCAGTCTCCAGGCGGTTAGTTGCAGCCATTGGGGCTCTGGGTGTAAGAGAGCCCCCTGGAGGAGGCAAATCTGGTCGTCCGGGATCCGCCAGGGGCGGGCAGTGGACAGGGCGACTAGGTCCGAAAACCATGGCCGACGGGGCCAGTGGGGAGCTATGAGAACCATTTCCGACCCCTCCGCCAGGAGCTTCCGGATGACCCTGGCGATGAGTGGAAGAGGGGGGAACGCATAAAGAAGGACACCCTGGGGCCAGGGAGATCGGAGGGCGTCCACCGCCTCCGCGCCTGGGGACGGGAATCTGGAAAAGAAACGTGGAACCTGATGATTGAAATTGGTAGCGAACAAATCAACTGCCGGGCGGCCAAATCGGTTGGAGAGGTCCTGGAAGAGGAGAGGGTGGAGCTTCCATTCGGAATGGTCCACTAGATTGCGGCTAAGGAAATCTGCTTGGATATTAGCTTTACCAGAAATGTGGGCAGCCCGTAAGGAAGCTAAATGAGCTTCAGCCCAGAGGCCAAGTAGTAGAGATTCCCGAAGAAGGGTCCGGGACTGGGTTCCACCCTGTTTGTTAATATGGGCCTTGGCCGAAACATTATCAGTTAGAACGAGCACGTGCTGCCCTTGGAGCAGAAGTTGGAAATGCCGTAAGGCCAGAAAAATAGCCCGTAACTCGAGGAAGTTGATGGAGGTGCCTCGTTCCTCCTCAGCCCAGATGCCCTGAACCATATGAGAGTTAAGGTGAGCCCCCCAGCCGGAGAGACTCGCATCAGTGGTAAGCACCATCCTCTGAGGCTCTCTAAACA